TTTACTAACAAAAATGTTTTAAATTGCCTCCTTTCACCTCCTTTCCTGTTTTCTAGCAATGTTCTGTCGTCTGCTTTCGTCTCCACTCTCTGCCCCCACCCCTCACCTCCTATGCCCCCTCCAGTGGGCTCCTGCCTCTTTCTGCAGCCTTTCTACTGCTACTCCTTGGCTCCTTCTTGCTGTTGTCTTTCAGCCACACCCCTGATCTTCAGGTAGGAAAGATCTACATCTAGCCTTTTCGGACAAGGGCGACAAATCTCGGAGGTCCCATGTGCAAGTAAAAGATCCTTTGGTTGTCTAAAATCGATAAGAGTAGGCTTCGGCCGCCACCGAGGCAAAATTCGAAATTTCCTACCAATTGAAAATTTTTGGTGTGCCCCGCTCGCTCATATAACCTTATGCAGTTGTGAGCGCAGTCAAAAACTTACCCCCCCAAAAAAGGAATATTTAATAAATAACAACTCTTTTTTTAACACAACACATTGAATTTTCAAAAAGAAATTGTTTGTTTTTAAAAATCTTTTTAAAAAAAATCTTAAATGTATTTTGAATTCACAGACACAGTAGCCAGGGGTTTATAAAAGAGTGACAACTTTAGTAACACGAGGGATGCCCTTCAGCATAGATCACGACTTCACATCATCGATGCATGGACCCGAAACAGTCGTGTGATTGTTGAGGAATTTTATTCCACTTTTGAAGTAAGGTTGCTCTAACTGAGTAAGGATATGGGGATGATTGCAGTCTGACACGTGAGCGCCATGATCTAAAGCAGTCCCACAGTGCCCAATTGAATTTAGATCTGGTGAATGCTCTGGCCACGAATTCAGGAGAGAAATGTTGTCACTGCTGGCAGCTCAGAGGACCGAGTTGTTGCTGCAGCTCTTTTTGATACGGTGAATGATTTTAAATGAGTTCAGCTTTAGATGTGTTGCTTTCTTTTTAACTCATTCGCTACTCCGAGCTGTGGGCAGCGGTGCGGCGAAAGTGTCTTCCGTACGCCAAGCCGCTACCGACGGCTCGAGCACCGACCCATAATTCTAGCTTCGATTTTACTCCAATCCACGTATCCGTGTTAAAATAAAGGTTATAATAAATTTTATAACATTGACTTCTGGGTCAAGCGTTTCCCCCGAAAATCGGAAGTTTAGATTCTGTTTTGAAACGCGATTTCGTAGTTTATGCGACTTTGTTTTATCGTGATGCCAAAATTCTAGCCCAGAAACCAGTCTTAGTACTTTTACACAACAAAATGTATCATTATTTTGCTCACTAAAAAAATGTAGGACTCTTCTTTATAATATTGATACTATTGGACTCAAATTGCCAATGCACTGTTATTGAGAAATCAACATTTTTGAGTGCTAGATCTAGGACTAGATCTAGATCTAGATCTAAGTTATCAAAATATTTTTTTCTCCCCCAAATCATTACTTTGTGGGGAAATTACACAAAAAGTGCCACTCAAGACGGAATCGGTTTATTCCAAAAGCAATTCTGGATCATTCCATATAAGATATATATGAGTGTTTTTTCTGTGTTTGTGATCCTTTTTTCAAGATTATAAAAAAAAATAATTCAATATCAGATGTTATGATTCAAATGTACAAATTTTGTGGAATGTATGTAAATAACTACAAATGTTTCAATATTTTCCAGTTGTATATTCATTTACAGTTATTTTGATGTATCATTTGACTAGGTGCAAACATATTTTTTGAGTTTCACCAAAGATTTTTAATTTTTAATTTTCAAATTTTATCCGCATCCAATATAAATTGTGTTGCATAATCGCCTCTTACAGGAATCAAAGTTGAAAAAATACACAAATAAACATGTAAGATGTATTCGACAAACCATACTGAAAATGTTGGTACATAGTATGTTGATATTTATTTGAATTTGTGGTCCCAAAGAACTTTAAACTGTGCACTAGTCATCGTCTCATTTCGCTCTTCCAAAAAAAATCTTCCACAAGCCGAAAATAATACCTTGCAAATGAGTTAAAACTGTTCACATAGCTTAAATTGATGTTGGAAAGGAAGCACTGAAAACACAAGACCGGTATCGTTGAACAGAACGAACTGCCGTGACGCGCTAATGAGTACCACACGTGGATGACTTTTACCCCAAGTGAAAGATTTAACTATGTCAAAGGAATAAAACGCTTTTTAAGTGTATGAAAATATACATGTAAATGCATCATATAAGTCAGCGCATCAACACTCAAACATTCTCCTTGCACAAACTGTCCTGTGTACAGTAACACAGGAAGATAGCCTTTTTACACCGCCCACAGGATCAGATGTGTCAAACATTGTTATGTCTTTTGAATCGACCACAGTAGAGAAAACGAGGGTTGTCTCAGAATTAACAAGAAAGTAGAAGTGAAACGAAAAGTGTTGTCATGATTGAGATACAATGTATACAATAAGTTGGTCAAACATTTGGTTTGTTTTCCAATGCAATCCCCACGAACAGTAAAGTATTTTCCCCATCGCTGCATAAGTAAATGCATGCCATCCTTGTACATTTTGCGCACTTTTCGTCAAGCCACCAAAGCCTATCCCTAACGCACTCCACAAGGTTTTGTCACCTGTGCTTTTCTTTTCGGCTAGAT